AGAGAGAGAGAGAGAGAGAGAGAGAGAGAGAGAGAGAGAGAGAGATTTGTGACTTTGGAATGTTGACGACATTTGGATACGGACTAGACTTTCGGACAGAGACATCGGCAGGGGACTATTTGGGATCGATATCAATGACATGTGTGTGACGACATTTTCAGTTTCCCCCTTTTCTTCGTCCGATCCCCCTCCTCCTCATCTGTGTATGATCTGAGAATGGCGCATTCTTCCTATGTGAAGCGCCAGACCCTTTCACACCTTATGATGATGATGATGTATGTTGTGGTCTGTATTGCGACATTGATTGGTCGGATCATTGGTATTTTAGCTTCACGTTGCGCTATCTTGTACTATGTGAGAGAGGTCGGTTCTTGTTCTGGTCTGCACCGTTACGGTGTCGGGACCTGTGGATCCCGAATAACGTTTTGATACTTGAGAGCCAATATATAGCTAGGTTATGCACGACAGAGAATCTGGAGTAAGGAGACAAGAGAGAGAGAAAAGACAAAGGACTAGGACGGGACCGCTGGGAGGAGTGATGCCCTGGGCTGAGTACCGTAGGGAGAAAGAACCGGCAACGACAAGCAAGGGACGAGACACGGGCACATAGGGGCATAGCATGGGGCTAAGAGGGCCATCTGAACTCGGCATGATAAGAACCTGAGGGACCATTAACTTAGCAAGCGCGGCATGGCGGATGACAAAAGAATAAGGAAACCGAGAGGTGGACAACCCTGGTGGCCGTGGGACGCTAGAAAATAAGGGCCCAACGTGGGAGCCGTCTATGACAATTAACGGAGACCACAGATTGGACGCCCCACGGCCAGTGAAACCGGCGCGCCCAAGACCCAAGAAAAGACAAGGGAAAGGGGCCACCATAGGGTGGCAGACGCCAAAAGAACATGGTACACCTTGAGGAAAGGCACCGGGGACCACATGAGACAAAGTAAAAATAATGGTATCCGGGACAAACTATGAGGGGAACACCGGCGTGACAAGTGTCGGGGACCACCAACGGAAAAAAGTGTCGGGGACCACCGGCGGGACAAGTGTCGGGGACCACCGGCAGGACAAGTGTCGGGGACCACCGGCGGGACAAAGTGTCGGGGACCACCAGCGGGACAAGTGGCGGGGACATGAGAAGGTCTCAAGAGGAACTGCGAAGCGACATGAGGAGAAAACAATTGAAGCAAGATGCACCGTCAAGATCGAGATTTTGACGACCAAGAATATTAGACCACTAGTGAAAGCACTAGTGGGAGCAAACGGGAAGACCAAAAGGAGAAGAAAAAAGTAAAGAAACATAGAGAAGGAGGCATAGGAGCAATCTGAAAAATCTCGGATTGGCCCCCCTCAAGAAAGTGGAGTCAAAAAAGACTCCATGTGAAAAATAGGCTCCCGAGGTAGAATCGGGGTATGAGGGGTCATTGTGTGAGAGAAATAGAGGTAAAAGGAAGCTCACATGGGCATGAGGAAGCCATTACTGCAGTCCGAGATATAACGGATTGCACCATGAGCATAGGGAGGGCCAAAACTAAGAGGAATTACCTAAAAAAGGCCTTAACGGCTACTTGACACTTCGCATGCTAGAAAAAGAAAGAAAAAGAAAAGAAAAGGGACGAATAATAAAACAAAAGGAGTGAGATGGAGTGAGTGAGTTGGCCGCTAGTAGGGACTTCCACAAGAAGGGACTGGCAGGTCCCTAAAAGGGAGGGAAAAGAAAAGAAAAGAAAAGTGAAAAGGGCCTTAACGGTAGAAAACAGTCACTTGGTGAGATACATCCGTGACCAGATACATTCTGGGATATGGCAGTTGCAAAGGACCTTGATATTCTCTTGATTTTGCAGAGAAGATCAAGAAAAATCAAAGCCTCATGCAATCGAGATACAACGGATTGCATGAAGGAAGAGAAACACATGTTTTAGGTGCATCCGAAGTCAATATTGAGCCCAGATGCACTTGAAAGTTTGTCGTTTCTTTTTCCTTCAGTTTTGGGCTAGTTGAGGGGCAAAGGGGCTAGGAAATTAAACCCCATTGCAGTCCGAGTTACAACGGACTGCATAGGGAAGGGAAAAGACATGTTTTAGGTGCATCCGGAGCCAATATTGAGCCCGGATGCACTTGAAAAATTGAGCGCCTCATTTTCTTTCAGTTTGGGGCAAGTTGTGGGGCTATGGGACTAGGAAAATGACCACAGTTGCAGTCCGAGAAATAACGGACTGCATAGGTATACCTTGGCCAAGGGAAAAAAGAACCATGATAAGCCCAAAGGGCTAGAAAAGAGTGATTTCGGCATGAGTGCAATCAGACTTGCTTTCATTCACACTTTACATGCATGCCAACAGTAGCACAGCAAACTGGTGACATACGCCCACTCAAAACTCAAAGATATGGCAACCCAAATACAAGTTCACTTCCAATGGCTATGGCGATATAGCGCCCATACAACTCTCTGTTCGGATACAGTGGATCACCCTGGATATCCCACACGCGTACTCTACACTCACACACATACATGCTACACACTAACTTTAACTATGGCGGCTATGGCCGCAACTACCCTATCGCTATGCTACTCTCCTTCTCTCTCGCCCACTTCAGCTTCGGGCTCACTGCAGACCTCCTTGCATAAGTCGCTGTAGCAGCGCTTCCGCATGGCTCACGCAGGAATGAATGAATGGTTGGGCGCTGCCTCTTGATTTATACTTGTGAAGCTCGTTGGTCTGCCCCTTTCCCATGCCCGAAGTGCACACAGTCCCATGCGGTACTTGCTTGACTGGACCAAACTGCCTAGAACGGGGACTGTTGACTCGGCACGGGCAGACTCCATCACTTGCCTCACCATTTGCCCACTTGCCTCAGTCTAAACGTAGGCAACTTCGAAAGGCCACTACTGGGACCTTCCGGAAGGCCGTAGACTTGGCCTTTCGTGATTGTAGCAGCTACGACTTGACCCTTCTGGACTGTAGCAGCTACGACCTTGACCTTTCAGGAAAGCTACAGCTAGGACTTCTAGACCTGACTAAGACTCCTACTCGACAGGTCTACAGATCAAACCCATGCTACCTATGGACCCTACGACAACCTATCAACTGTTACAAATACACAGTTCGCGGGTTCAACTCTACGGGTCAACACAGGTACTGTGCACAGGTAAGGTGGGGACTAGGGATCGAGCCCTGGGATCTGCATCAACTACTGCGAACTGGTGAATATCGTTTCACTCCCGCCGGCTTAAATTCGAGGTCCTCCGAGAATAATTCAGTCCAAGGCAGGACCTTTACCTTTCTGATCTCTCTCGTAGGCTCTAACTATATCGGGAGCTATTTCTAGAAGTTCTGATCTTGTGAACCAGCGGTCATCCTTCGGCTCCTGATAAGCGAACCGGACCTCGTACTTTTTCTGTGGACGACCTCTACTTCCTGTTCTGAACACATCTTCACCTACAATGCCGTCAATGTCATACCTCCCGTCCATGTCTAGAGGGATCATGGACCGTCAAAACGGAAACTGCTGACTTGTGACGCACGACAATAACTTTGAGGCGTGAAACACAGGGTAGGTGTGGAGGTGTGCTGGAATCTCTATAGTGTAGGACGACCCATTCTCTCCGCCCTTAACTTCTAGAACCGGCCATGGTCCTCTATACGCGCGCAGTAACTTCTGCGAGATGTTCTCCTCAGGTGCAAACTCTTTAGACTTGACCCAGACCAGGTCGCCTACCTGAAACTGCGATGGGCGACGGTGCTTATTAGCCTGTTCTATCATGCGGTGTTGGGCCTTCCTGAGGTTCTCAACAACAGTCGCTATCTCTTTCTCGTGTTGTATTGCGAACTCCCTGGTACCGGGCGGTAGCCTGTGAATCTGATCTCGGTTAAGCCCTTCGAACAATCTGCGCGGTCTAAAGGACTTGTGCAACTCATTGGGAGTGCAACAGGTGGACAAATGCACGCTGTTATTGTATGCACTGCCTACCTTGGGTAACATCTGATCGGGTCTAATGAACATACGCAGAACTTGCTGCAGGATCTTGTTCATCTTCTCTGTCTGACCGTTAGTCTCTGAATGGCGACCAGACGACATCAACAACTTAGATCCATAAACCTTCATGAGTTCCTTTTAGTTTTGGCTGGTGAAGCGACTATCTCTATCGCTAACTATGGACAACGGGACTCCATGTTCACTAACCTAAAAATCAAAGAACCTCTGTATCACTAACTCTGTGCGCGCCTCTGCGGGCAAAGGAACAAAAATGGAATACTTGTTAAACCTATCAACTACGACCATGACTTGGCTTTTGCCGTGCCTACTCTTGACACCAACATCCATGAAGTCAATGGAGACTGAATCTCTAGGCTGGTCTGGAATGGGCAAGGGTCTGAGAAGACCTAGAGGGGCACAGGTTGTGGTCTTGTTCCTAAGACAGACTTTACAACTGCGGACATACTCTATGCAGTTGTTCTTCATTCCTGGCCATGTATACGCGTGCATAAGGTTGGCTAATGTCTTCTGCCAACTGAAGTGTCCCTCTTTATCATGGCATTCCCCTAGGATCAAAATACGAATTTCCTCATTGTTGGGAACACATAGGCGGTCGAATACATTAGTCTTCTCGAATAGCAAACCCTCTGTAGTGCGGTAATTTGTCTCGGTCTCTGGGGCTTCCTTGACTCTCTTGAGGAGGTCACTATAGATAGGGTCCTGCGCATACGCTTGTCTAACTTTCTCTTGTAGGTCACTCCCTATGTCCAGATAGTGAACTATAGCTCCAAAGTAGTCTGATCTCCTACTTAGAGCATCCGCGACTACATTGTACTTGCCCTTGACTGGTTTGAGCTCGAAGTCATACTGGTCTATCTCAGCGGCCCACCTAGTCAACTTAGGTGTCATTTTGGCCTAGGTCTTTAACCATCTAAGCGTCTCGTGGTCTGAATACACTTTGAAGTGCCTCCCAAATAGGTAATGCTTCTAGTGCTCTAAGGCCTGCCTGAGAGCGTAGAGTTCTCTCTCGTACGTCAAGGTGGCTACCTTCTCTGAGGGCATCCTCACTGACATAAACTCTACAAGTCTATAGCCATTGTCGTCGTCTTGCTGCAACACGGCGCCTATACCATACTGACTCGCGTCCGTGGTGACGACAAATGGCAAAGACGGATCTGCCACTTTAGGGACAGGGTACTCTATTAACGCGCGCTTTAACTTCTTAAGCGCAGACGTACAATCTTTATCCCATTGCCAAATTGCCTCTTTCTTAAGCAAACTGCGCAAGGGAGCGGCGATAGTAGAGAAGTTCCTTACGAACTTCCTATAGTAGTTAGCTAAGCCTAGGAACGACCGCAACTCTGTCAACGTGCGGGGCGTCGGCCAGTCTCGAATTGCCGCTATCTTGCTGTCCTCTGGCTTAATGCCATCTATGTCCAACACGTGACCCAAGTACAAAACTTGTATCTTGGCCCACTCGCACTTCTTCGCATTGATCTTGAAGTTAGCTTCTCTGAGCTTCTCCAAGACCTGCCTTAAATGACCCTGATGTTCCTGGAGGGTCCTACTGAAAACTAAGATATCGTCTAAGTAGACTATGACAAACGTATCCAACCAAGGTCTAAACAAATCATTCATACAACACTGAAATGTAGCTGGCGCGTTGGTTAGTCCAAAGGGCATCACTATGAACTCATAATGCCCATATCTAGTTCGGAACGCAGTCTTGTACTGGTCGTCAGCGTGGACCTCTATCTGATGATACCCGGACTTCAAATCTATCTTTGAAAAATACTTGCAACCCTGCACCCGATCTAAGAGATCGTCTATCCTGGGCAATGGTTCAACATTCTTGACTGTGATCGCATTCAGACCCCTATAGTCTATACACATACACAATTCTCCTTCCTTCTTGGGAACGAACAAAACTGGTGCTCCAAAAGGAGATGAACTGGGCCTGATCCAACCTTTCTCGAGGAGTTCGTCCAACTGCTTGCGCAGCTCCTCTAACTCTCTAGGGGACATTTTGTAGACTGCTCCCTTAGGAGTTCTACTGTCAGGCTCTATCTCTATCCTGTGCTAGATGGGTCGCGACACTACTCCTGTCGGCGACTCAGTTAGGTCTTTAAACTCTTCCGTCAGTTTGGCAATGGTTGGATCCGTGGAACTAACTTCTCCCTTAGGCTCAGTGACAGGTCTGACATATACTACAAAGATCTGATCCTGTGGATGCTCTTTTTTCACTAGTCGCGCGAACGCGGGAGCACTGAGACAGCAATGTGCGAAGGTGTCGTCTACACCTGACACATGAAACAGGCGGGCAGTCTTAACCTCGCCGGACGGACTAGGGAGTCTACAATCATGCTCCCTCAAGTGGAGTGTGGCCCCTGTTGCCTCTCCCCAATCCATTCCTAAGACTATATCAAAAGGAAGGTCATCCTGTACGAGGAGAGTCAGGGAATGGAGAACTTTCTCCACCTTCCCATCTTTCTCTAGGCGAAAATACGTCTGGACTCCCTCTACGTAGTCCTCAACACGCATGGTGCGGTTGTCTGCGAGGACACTGACTATGGGGTCCGCCAACTTTTGGACTTTTAATCCTAGCCTTAGCTTTTTCAGCGCTCTGCGGCTAATGTAACTGCTGGTGGCCCCTGAGTCTATAAGGGCCCCTACTCTACTTCCAAAAACTTTTATATCAACTAAGATCAGTTGTCCTTTACTTTCTTTCTTCATTTTGGCCCAAGCTGGCATCCTCTCCTTCAATTCCTCTGCCACGCCTGTGAGGGACGTGCCTAGAGAGACGCTAACACCATCAGTCTCTGGACAGCTGGCTAGGCACGGGCCTGCAAACTCTGGCATAGGCTCATGTGGTTTGGGAGTTTCCTGTATGCGCGTGCTCGCTTCCCCACATGGCCTTGAAGTAGGGGCAGTTGCGACCCCTACTGGCGGCTGCCTTTTGACTGCTGAGCAGCCCATCGGGCCAGTCTGTACTTAGGACAAAATTTAATTACATGGGCCGGGTCACCACAAAACACGCACTGACCCAAGTCCACGCGTTCCTACCATCCGCGCTGGTCCAAGCCCAAATCTCCCCAAGGCCTGCCCTGCGGCAAGCGTGGGTGCCATCCTCCTTGAGGCGCCCTTCCACCTCCTCGTTGTGGGGACCGGTTACCCTGGCGATTTAACGGGGGACCTTGACCCCTACCTCCCGCTTGGCGGTTCCCTTGTTCGCCAACCCCCTATGCGCCCGGTCCTCGGCCTCCCGTGGCCTGGCCCTTTTGGCCCTCGCCTCCTCCTCTACCTTGCGGCCTCCCTCCAGCCGCGACAGCCGCATAGGACCTCCCCTGCCCTACGCTGCTGTCCTCCTCCTCTAACCCTCACTCAATCTCACTGTAGGAGACTTCATCTGTACCACCTTCTTCTAATGTAAGGATCATGTGATCTTTGGCCCTGACTTGGCCAGAGATGGTACAACCCTTCCACTTCCCTTATCCAAGTCCTTGTGCCAGAAAGTGGACACTGGCATGGACTTCGACTCGAACAGGACCACCTCTCTACTTAGCACATCATACGTGATGTCGGCCTGTTGAGATTTGTCAAAGAAATGCCTACGCAGGGGCTCTGGCATGGCACGATAAAACAATTGGACCAGTTGGGTCTTAGTGACCCCATGGTCTGGGACGGCTACCAAGTCGTCAATGACAGCTTTGAGTGCTCTCGCACTCCTCCACTGTCGCGAGTGGATGGTCTGTAACTTATTAGAGGCTCTAACGCCTCTCGTTGGGTCAGCAAATCTCTCTCGCAGGAGTTTAAAGAATTGAGGAAGAGGGGTAATCTTAGAGTATGCAACCAGGTTGTTTTCACAACCGGCTGCGCGCGAAAGGGATCTGGCAAAACTGGCCGCTTCATCTTTGAGGGCCTGGAAGGCGATGAGGATTTGTTCCTCAGTCAAAGTGTGCTGTAAGTATACGTAACTATTGACGCTCGCCTCCCAATTATCAAAATTCTCTTCCTTCTTCCCGCCGTATGCATCTGGGAATGTAAGCTTGACGGGCTCTTTACGAGGCCTGGCCTCACTCTCGACAACGACCACTACTTTGGCACTCTCAATAGCGCCTTCACAGAACTTTCCTACGTTCTCCCTTAATCGCCTGACTTCACCCCCAACGTGGGTGACCATGTCGCGCGCAAAGTCTCGAAACCTTGATCGCATGGCACTCAGGGCTACCTCTTGGCCCTTGTTGGCTTGACGTTCCTCTAGCCAAGCCTCACTCAGCACCTCTAGATACCCCAACATTTTGTCCATCTTGGCAGAGACATCTACCTGTCCTTGGACCTCTTGTCTGCACGCTCTCACCTTCTCCACTTCTATGGTCAACCGGTTAACTTCCTCTCTCCTTCTCTTCTTCTCCCTCTTCATCCATAGCTTCCACTCCAATTTCTTCTCCTCCTCTGCCTCTCGTCGTTCCATAGGGTCCTCAATCGTTTCAAGTGCCCTGGCAAACGCCTCCTTCTCCTCTTGTGGCACATACATTTGTGCCTCCTCGTCTTCCCCCAACGATAAATTAGCAATCCACTCACTAATCTTTTTCTCTAATTTCGCTTCCTCCTCCTTCGTGTCACTACTCTCTCCTTTTTGTTCTCTGCATTTTCTCTCCTCCTCTGCTTCTGTTGCTGCCTCTTCCTCGGCAACCTTTTTCTTGTCCTCCATCTCTTCTTCCAACTTCTTCATCTTCGTCGCCTGCTCCTCTGCGATTGCTTTTAATTTCACCTGCTTCAGAAGCTCTTTCCTCTCCTTATTCTCTCTCACTAAGGCGATCATCTTCTCTTGTTGCTCCTGGGCGTAGGGGCTAGTGCTTTTCCCACTACGAGTGTCAACCATGGTGATAAGTGCACAACCGGATTGACGGTTCTAAACCTCACCACGTAGACTCTAACCCCTGACTGACAACTTACTGACTCAATCTAAAGACTCACAGAATCCGGACAAGGATCCTGTCAACTAGGGTCTCTAGCCTAGACCTATTTTACGGCTGTCACTACTAGACCAGTTGCTGATCAGGAGGCATTTAAGGAGATCCCCCATAACTCCTCAGGAATTATTTAACGTCGCACACAGGACGACGTGATCAGCGGGTCTCTTAACACTTAGACTGCCTGTTGTGCAGCCCACAACTCAGCCTTTCGGGCCTACCGTGCCACACCAAGCAGCCCGCCGGTCTATACCGGTCCTTGGGAGGGTTAGGCCTCCGGGACAGTCGAGTCGTCAGACACAGTCTTTAGCCCTACTTAGTCTGGCAGGGGTTTGGTCAAGGAGGCCCTATCCTTCATCCATTGAGTTCCTACACCTAGACAGCAGAGACTCGATGCAGAAAGAAGAGAGACAGGCTTGACTCAGCAAGTACCACAGGGTGTGTGCACATCCATAGGGCGCGGGATAGGCTGAAGGCTTGGCGAGATTATACCGGCTCCAGCTTGGTCGAAATCTTGGTCAACGCCTTAGTCAATGCTCGGTCACTGCTGCAATTAACCCTCGGTCAACCCCCAGTCAACTCCGGTCAACACCCAGTCAACGCCAGTCAACCCTGGTCAACACCTCCGGTCAACTCCCCGACTATGGCGGCCGGCTTCACCTTCGTCGCCACCCTTCACCTTCCTTCTCTTCACCTCGCCTCTTCCCTCTTC